TCGTGCTCCCGAGCACGCTTCAAGTTGTACCTGTTCGGCAAGGGTGTCTTTCGCTACCAGTCCACGTGCTCTCCGTCATCGGTCGCGCCTTTCACATGACGGAGCTTCGCGGGCTGGGCGGCCCCGTTGGGTGCCCCGCCCCGCGCCGGGCTTTGCCATCTGCCCTGAGGTTGCCTTTGCAGGTGGCATAGCCTGCACCTGCTTGCTCGGCGTCCGACTCGCTTCATGCGCCCGCGATCCAAAAAGTATCCGCACCAGCGCATCCAGGAACGAAGCCCATCTGCGTTGTCTGGAGGAGGGGCTTGCGAAAGCACGCAGTTACGCAAAGGGTGCCAACATTTTTGCAATTTCGCCTCAAGCTCCATGTCTCTTTGAGCCACTTCGGGGCCAATTTGGGAGTTCTTTCGTATGTTATGGCCCCTTTGGGGCCCTCTAGGGCCTGCCCTTTTTGGGTAGGACTTGGGAGCCATCTTGGAGGCCACCGGCCACGGAAGGGGGGGTGATCAATTTCGGCGCCATCTTGACGCCTCAAGAGGCCATCGGCGACGAAACAGCGAGAAGACACGCATCTTTCCTAAGGTACGGAAGGGTGTGGGGCTTCAGCCTGTCCTTGGGAGGCTCCGTGGCCAGTTGGGGCCGCCGGAGGGCGATCTCGGGGCCTGCTTGAGGCATGTTGGTAGCTATTTGATCCATCTTGGGCTGTCTCCAGCGACCTTGGAGGACATATTGAGATTCCCGGGTCCACCTTGGAGCCATCTCGGGCCAGAAAGACCCTATGACACCTCGCCGGGGGTGTCGTCCAGACACAGGCTGAGAGGTGATGGGGAGGCTTAAACCTTGCCCGAGGGGTAGAGGGTGTTGGGAGAACTGGCTCGGTCAACCACTTAACTGCCCCCAGAGGCCTGGTGGCATTCCACCTCCTTCTCCCCATCCTCCCTGGACTGCCCAGGTCCCCCCCCCCCGCGAGACGATTCAACATTCAGACGAGGAGGAACACAATATTCGCATGTTTGATCGTTTGTGAGTGAGGATGCAGGGGGGAGGAAGAGGACGGAGGAGGCTGACGAGAAGGAGGGGAAGGAGGGCAAAAAGGAGGAGAAGGAGGAGAAGGAAGATGAGGAAGAGGCGGCGGGGGAGGAGGGCGTTGGCAGTCGCTGTGGGCAGGCAGTATGTGTTGGATGGAATGTTTGCCTCGTGTCCGTCTGTCGAGCTCTTTGGTTTGTTAGTGTTTTGTCGGGTTGTTTCGTTGGTGGATGGCTGGGCGGGTTGTAGCGTGTATATTTCATAATATGCTGTTCGTTCCCGTCATCCGGGGGCCTTCTGGAGGCAGGTGTGAAGCCTCTTGTGGGCCGGTTGAGGGTCTGGGCCACTTTGGAGCCTCGTGAGGCCTTTTGGGGGCCGTTTGGCAGCCCCTTGGGGCCTCCGGGGGCCTCTTTGGGACTTCCTGGGGTTCTCTTCAGGAGGAAGCTCGAATCGTCGGTTCATGTTCCCCCTCTTGGGACCGTCTTGGAGCGGACGGTCCTTGGTTCCTCTTGGGCAGTCATGGAGGGTCGGAAGCTCGAAAAGGCGAGAACGTCAAAAAGCAACGGCAAGGGCCTTTTGGTCTGTCTTTGGGACATCTTGAGCGTGTAGACCTGACTGCAACGGAAGCTCTCTTGGGCCGTCTTGGCCGCCGTGGCGGCGTTGCCGCCCCTCCCCCTTCCCCACTTCCCCGGCCAAACCGCTCCCGCACCCTTCCGCCTGCAGCATGGGAGCGGCCCAGAAATGGACCCCCACCCCCATGTCTTCCCCGAGCAGAGCCTCCCCAGCCCCCCCCCCAGCAGAGCTGGAGCTCAGGCTGCAGATGTTGTAAGACTCGCACGCCGGATCGGCGGATACACACATTCGCAGTAGCCGCCGATCCATCTCGCCACCGTGCCTGGGTTATGGGCCATTGAAAGGGATCTATTGGAAGGCATCTATTGGATCTATTGGAAGGGATTTATTGGATCTTTAGTACCTAGGGGGATCTATTGGATCTATTGGATTTATTGGATTTATTGGAAGGGATCTATTGGATCTATTGGTTCTTTGATACCTTGGGGGATCTATTGGAAGGCATCTCGGAAGCCTCTTGGAGGCGACCTCGAGGGTGTCGTGGGGCCTCCGGGCCTCTCGGGGGCTGCCTGGGGCTTGATCTGGTGCCTCTCGGGGGCAGTCTGGGGCCCCTTTTGGGGCTCTCTCGGTGCCTTCTTGAGGCCCTCTTTGGCCGTCGTGTGGGCCTCTTGGGCCGTCTGGGGCGGTCTTGGAGGCCTCATGGGCCGTCTTGGACGCTGCTGCGAGCAAATAGGCAAGACCAGAGTAATGACAGCAAGTATGGGGAATTAGTGATGTTTGACTCCCGATGCCATCTTGCGGCCCCATTGGGGCGTCTTTGGGGGCCCCGCTGGGCCATCTTCGGGCCATCTGGAGCGGCCTGAAATTCCCTCGAGGGCCGTCTCGGGGCCTCGTGGAACACCTCGGAGGCCTCTCGCGGCTTTCTCTTGGCTCGTCTTGAGGCCCTCTCGCTCCCAAGAAGGCCTGGCCGGGCCACGCGGGAAGCTCCAACCAATCTGCCGACTCGGGGACCGGGGCCCTTCAGTTTCAAATCCTCCGACCGGGGACGGAGGGCTCAGGGGACCCGAAAGCATTACAACTCTTGCCTACAACTCTTGCCTTCGATGCTCGTTTGGGGGACCTTCCTGGGGCCCACCTAACGCATCTGTTCGACACCAGTTCGGCCCCAGTTCGACTCAGTTCGACTCAAGTTCGACTCCAGTTCGACTCAGGCTCGACTCAAGGCCGGTTCAAATCGACGGACGTTCGACGCAGCTTCGACGCACGAGTGGAGCGAGTGTCTCCAGGAAGGTCCCCAGAATCAGCAACCAGCGTGCCTCCGGGCACGTTGCCTGATATGTGGCTATATCTCAGATTCTCCAAGCAGTGCTTGCACTTAGGTCTTCTCATTTCTGCTCGAAGGAATTGGGCCTGTCTTCGTCGCCGCCCGTCGTCTGGGCCTGACCGGCGGTCTGGCGGCTGGGTTGTCGCCGTTGCCGTCCGGTCCCGCCGCCGCCGCCCCATTGCACCACCAGCGCTGCAGCCCAATCGTTTGCAGTCCAATCGATTGCAACGCATATGCCCCCGCACCACGTAGACTGAAAGCCCAGTACAGACTACACAACATTTAGTGCACCACATATGTTGCACAGTAAATACGGCACAACACTGTTTCCGTAACATCTAGTACACAGCGTCGATTGCACAACATCTATTGTACAACACAGGGTGCACAACATCTTTTGTATCGCATAGATAACACTTTACACGTTGCTCCAAATATCTTGCGCACCTCATCGATTGCACGACGTAGGCGTCAGAACATAGATAACACGACATCTATTGCACAACCTAGTTTGTGCTACTGTTGCGCAACGTAGATCGAACAACCGATATGTTACAACATAGGTTGTATCACACATCTTGCTTAACACATATTGCACAACATAGCTGGTTATAAACACACCATTTAGGGTCCACGCTGGTTAACGTATGTCAGATAAGAATGTGACATATTACCCGTCGGTCGTTGGGAGTAGGTATGCTGGATTCCCAAATCCCAATCTACTTCAGGCCCCCTTCATACTTCAATGCAGGAGTGGTTGCCACTCTTCCTTCCTCTTCAGAGGGTGGGCGGAAGCCCAATCTACTTCCGCTGCCTTCCGAGTACATGCTTCCACCCAGTTCCTCCGACGGACGGGTACATCTGTGCGTAATATGTATATACAGATAGACAGATGGATCGCCCACACATCTCTGCGTATGTGCATACGTTGAGAGAGAGAGAGAGAGAGACAGACAGACAGACAGACAGACAGACAGACAGACAGAGAGACAGAGGGAGAGAGAGAGAGAGAGAGAATGACATAAGAAAACAAGAGTTAGACAGAGAGAGAGGGGGAGAGAAAGACAGAGAGAGAGAGGGAGAGAGGGAGAGCGAGAGAGAGGAGAGAGAAAGAGGGGGGAGGGAGAGAGAGAGAGAGAGAGAGAGAGAGAGAGAGAGAGAGAGAAGAGAGAGACAGCCACGATCCGACGAGCTCCACGCGCCCGGGGGGCTGGCGCCCGCCGCGTCGCGCTCGCCCGCGCTCCCGCCGCGGGGGCGCACCCTGCCGGGGGCGGGCCACGGGCCGCCCGGAGGAAGACAGAACACGACACGGCATGGCATTTTCGCTTGCAGAAGGCACGTCCATTTTGGGCTCCTCCTCCTCCTCCTCCTCCTCCTCTCCTCCCCTCCTCCTCCTCCTCCCCCTCCTCCTCCTCCTCCTCCTCCTCCTCCTCCTCCTCCCCCTCCCTCCTCCTCCTCCTCCTCCTCCTCCTCCTCCTCCTCCTCCTCCTCCCGGGATTCTCGGGGTGGCCCAGACGGCCTCTGGGGCACCCCGCACGAGGCCCAGAGGGCCCCGGGGGCTCCAGAATGGAGCGCAAAAGCTGGGGGCACCTCGGGCCACGGGGCACTTCTAGCAGCACCCGACCATTCGGGGGTGGACAGGCCTCCTACCCTGACACGTCCATTAAGGAATTGGCCGTTGTCGGTTCGCGGGAGGGCGTCGCGGCCGTCACTCTTGCGGGTCCGGGTCCGTCGGCTCTGGTCCCAGGCCGTTTGTCACTGAGGGGAGGTTTGCGAAAGGGAGGCTTGTCCACCGCTGAGGTTCCGGTTGTAGCAGGTGCGTCCATGCTACCACTGCTCACTCAAACAGGCCATGAAGCAGACCGCCTGCTCTTTGAGGAGCCGCATCCCCTCGCCGCCCTTCACCAGCCTCGAACTGATCCCTACCCCTGAGATTGACACGCCAAAAGGCGATGACAGTCTTAGGGGTGCACTTTCAGAAACTGCGGGAATCCCTAAGCTCGCCATCGTGATGAGGCGATGCCGAACCTAGGGATAGGGATATGTTCCAGGCAGGTAAGCTCGCCTCCGCTGCCGCCCCGGCTCAGACGCGATCTCTAGACCCACTCCTTTTACATTTACCAAGTTCTTACCATTACTTTCTGGGCACGTGCGAGCCCATCGCACGCCTTCCTGGAGGCCAGCACCCCTTCTGCCTCAAAGAGGGCTGCCCATCATGCCTGCCGGCGCCCTCGCGCTCGCCATCTCCGTCTTTGCTGCCGCGCCGTCGGCGGCGTTCGGCATCCTCTCCGGCCTCCCTCAAGCCACCGACCCGCTGAGCCGCCTGGAGAACCGCCTGCGCCCCATCTACGTGACGCTGCCGCGGGATGGCGATGGCCTGCCCGACTCCAGCGGGGTGCGTTACCTGGCCCGGCGCTACCTCGAGGCGGAACACGGCTGGGTCCTCAAGGCCATGCGGAGCTAGGACGAGGATAGATCCGCTTCCCGAGGGGTCAAGCTTCCACCACCACTGCCACATGTAGGACAGGGGAGGAGGGAGGCGGGGGAGGTCCTCTTCCCCCTCCTCCTCCTCCTCCTACTCCTCCTCCTTTTCCTCCTCCTCCTCCTCCCCCTCCTCCTCCTCCTCCTCCTCCTCCACCGTCGCCATTTTGGCTCAAGATTTCTGCACCTGAGGGCTCCGCGCACTCGTTCCGAACTGGAAGCTGCTAGTCCGCAACAGCACCAAGTCCTTGTGCCTGACAGTTTTGCCAGTACCGCACGGGCGTTCTGGCAGCCCATCTTACGTGTGATCTGACGGAACTAGTTGCTACGACGCCGCGATGGTTTCAGCCCCGTGGCACACTGTCGGCGACGCTGCGGACGACACTTGGACAAGGCAGCCTTGGGTCCGAGTTCCGCGTGGGGGCGCCAAGGGTGGTCAGGTTCGTGGCGCTCGTCTGTACATTGCGTGCTCTTGTGGTCACTGGACGTGGAATGACCTCCTCGCCAAGCGGCGCAATCTTTGCGTCGCGTGCAAGTCCCAGTGTTCGGTTGCGGGCGGTGACCAGTACGGCGACGGGGGTGGCAAGCCTAAAGGAGGACGAGGTGGACGCAAGGCCCAGCATTTCTCGTAGCTGCAGCAGCCCCCAGCGACGCCCTTTCTCCAGGTGCTCTCGAGGCGGTCATGGAGGATGCTTCGCATATCGCCCCTGACTTGGCCCAGAAGCTTCTGTCGCAGTTTGTGCCCAAGCCGTCGCCCCAGCCTCATGTCACTTCCCAGGCCGAGTGGCTGAAGGCAGCCCAGGCCAACAAGGCTCCCCAGAAGAAGCTTGACAAGGCCCTGGCGCGCCTTACTGCTTTGGACAAGGAAGCCAGCGATCGACAATATTCTTGATGAGGTCATGGCGAAGGACCTTGAGAACGCTACACTATTTGAGCAGGCCACTTGTGCGCTGGCCGTTGGGGTCTTCAAGCCTGAGGATGCGGCGCCGTCGAGCAAGAACGCCACCTCGCTCGATGCTCTCTTTCAGGACTCGGCCGAGGAGATCAATAGTGACCTCTACCAGGACCTCGATGTCGCTTGGCCTGCTCTCACGCCAGAGGGCCGCGAAGGTGTCGAGAAGTTCAAGCTTGATAAGTCGAAGCAGGTCAAGACCCTTCTTCATGATGCGCTCACCTCGATCAAGGCCCAGTCCCAGACGCACCAGACCGAGTACCAGAACTGGATGGGTGAATTGCGCAAGAAACGCAAGACTGATGGTGGTTCGGTGGCGACTGGCGCGGTATCTCCTGATGGCGCAGGCAGTCCGGGCGCAGCAGCCTCTTACCGTGCCGACACCTTGGCTCCAGCCGTTGCTGCCTCGCGCAAGGCCAAGGATGAGGGGTAACCTACTGGCTGATGGATACCAGGAGCCCGACGACTGTTCAACCTGCAGTTCGTCGGAGATCGGCTCCACGGTTTCGGCCCCTTCAGCTTCTCTTGTCTTCGTGGCCGTCCACTTCGGCGGCGGCCAGGCCATCATCCTGCGGTGCTTGCCCTGCGTCGGCAGCTGGCGCTTCCGTTATTTCGCTTTCAGACGACGGGCGTTCGCTCGCCGCGCCTGCGAAGACAGCGACCCCGTGGACGAAACCTGCCGCAGGTTGGCCTGGCCTAGCCCTCGCTCGGCGCGGGATCCCGCGGCGCGCGTCTTGCTGGAGGTTCGGCAGACGATGCCCAGTGCACGGCCAGTTCGGCACTTCTACATTGATTGCGGCATCTATTTCATCGGCCTCAAGCTCAACTGCTGCATGGGCAGGCTCTTTGTCTCGCAGGCTCTAGCTGGCGCGCGGCGAGGGGGGCGCCGCTGGATCGGGGGCGGGCCCTTTTCTCCCAAGGGGGCGCGGCCCACTGGTTAGTCCCCCAGGGTTCTTCGCTTGCAAGGATCAGGGCCTTGAGCGGCGGGCTGCGATCCTTCGCCGCGTTCACCTCGAGCGTCGGCTTCCGCCTCGCGCCACGTTTTGGCTCCCGGGCCCGAGTCTGCTGGGCGAGCCTGGCGATCAAGCTCATTGGATGCGTTTACGTGTCACTTATGTCTCGGACTTGGTGTCTCATGCTGTGTTTCTGCCCCTCGTCATGGGGCAGGTGGCAAGTGCTGGGGGTCGAGAATTCTGCGATCGTGAGATTTTGCATGAGCCAGGATGTTTGTCTTTGAGCCTGGAGGTCGAGACGAAGTGCGAGGGCGAGGTGCCACCGCAACATGATGCGCCTCTCCCAGGCTGGTCATGGCGAAAGGAGGAGCTGGTGATACGACGCGCTCGCTCCGTGATTGAGCTTGAAGATGAGTTCGGTACAGCCCCTGCGCGGCGTCTTCCAGGCGTTAATGGTGCTGCCCTTTCCGGCACTGCTGGAAATCCTGGCGCGCCAGGTTCGTTCTTCGCAGGGCAGCCGACCTCTTCCCAGGGGCCCGCGGGGTCGGTGGAATCGCCCTGTGATGCGCCGAGTGGAGGGGGCGGCCAGACCGCTTTGCTAGACCGGCATGATGACGACAGCCAAGGCCTTGACGGTGAGCCTGCAATACGTGCTCCAGACATTGACGGTGCTGCTCCGGTCTGCGCTGTTGGAATTCCTGGCACGCCAGGTTCATTAGTCGCAGGGCAGCCGACCTCCTCCCATTGGCCCACGGGGCTGGAGCAATCGCCCTGCGGTGTGGCGGGCGCAGGGGATGGCCAGCCTGTTTTGCTAGGCGCGCATGATGTCGATAGCCGAGCCCCTGACGGTGAGCCTGGTACGGAGTCGAGATCCCAGCGTTTTCTTTCGGGCGTCGATTCCAACATCCGCGCCTGGGGCCCCGCTTCCTGTCGTCGGGTCGCGGAGTGCACGGCGGACGTCATCATTTTCGTTGAGCGCAGGGCGCGAGGTTCCAAGTACCAGGCCATGGCCAGGAAGTTGCGCAAGCTTGGCTGGAAGGTCGCGGCCCAGGCTGTCGAGGTGGCGGTTGCCGATGATACTTCTTCTGGTGTCTTGGCGGCGGCTCGCTCTCATCTTGGGCTTTCGACTTACTTTCGAGGCGGGCGAATGGGCTTCTGCCGGCACCGCGCGCTGGCTCTTGCGCACCCTTCGCCCGCGCAAGGTTTCTCTGACCATCATTCCCGTTGCCTGATCACTGGGGTGAGCTCGCTGGCCAGAACCTTCAGCTGTTGGCGGGCCTCGGAGCCCGCCTGGGCGCGGCAGGGGCGCCTGCCTTTGTGGTAGGTGGCTGGCAGGTTGACCAGAGTGTTTTGGAGCAGTCAGGTTGGCTGGGGCCCCCCGGCCTCGCCCCTGTTCTCATGCCGGGGTGCGCGGCCGCCTGCTCGGGCGTCTCTATCAGTCGGGTCGATTGCGCGCTGGTCTCTAGCATTTGGCATTTGCAGTGCAGTCGCATTTAGGTCGCTGGTCGTGGTGCCCCGGAGCACCCATGCTGCTTTGGAGTTCCAGGTCTCTGGGTCTTCTAGGGCCATCGAGGTTTGGAAGGCTATGCGACCTAAGCCTCTCCCTGTCAAAGGCGCGGTTGCCCTGTTGAAGCCGGGGCGCGCTTCTTAGCGCAGGCTCGAGTGTTGCAGCGCACGCGGCCAGGCTTCTTCAGGGCCAACTGCGCCGCTGCCAGTCTCTTCAAGTTCGCGCAAGGCAACGCTCGGGTGTCTCTTTCTTTGGGGGCCCTGCTTTCGACCTGGTTCGTCGCTCTTGAGCTTGGGGCTTTCCCGAAGCTCGGCCTGTGCCAGTCTCAGGTTTTCCAGTGCATCGGGCGGTGCCAGGAGCGCGGGCCGCGCCTGGCCCCCCTCGCGGCTGCCCAGGTCGAAGGGCCCTGCCAGGCCAATCGGGAGGCCCGCGTCTGACAAGCCGCGTTTGTACATGTCAAGTTGCTGCTTGAGCTTGTCCCGGATGGTTCCACTGGTGACAGTCCGCCACGGCCTGACCGAAAGCATGCTGAACAGTATCGTGCCACCCTGGCTTGGCTCTCTCGGCAGGTTCCGCCGTCCCCGTCTGATCCTGTTGATGCTGGTTAGTGTGTGGCACCTCTAACTCGTGGATGACAAGGTGTCAGCAGATGTCTGTCACGCCCTACGATGAGCTGCAATTTTTACTTGGCGAGCTGCAGCAGGTGTCTGAAAAATCATTGGTGCTCTCCAGGCCCAGAGGGCTTCGTGGAAGGCCTGGCTGCAGGGGGCGCTTTTTTTCAGGTCCGCGGGGCCGGCCCATCGGCTTCTCGAACCTTTCTTGGACCTTCTGGTTGCCGAAAGTCGGCGATGAAGGGCCCTGCCTCGCGAGCCGCGTCAGTTGCCCTGCGCGGGGATGGATGCTCGGTCGCCCCAGCGTTTGCCGCCAATCGACTTGGAGATGCTCCATCAATGCCCAGCGCCAGAGGGCAAGGTATCGGTTTTGTCGAGCCATGTCTTATAAATGATGCCAGTGATGATGCCAAGCTGCACTCGATCCAGCTGCTCGAAGACATCGCAGAGCAATGCGCTCTGCCGCGCTCACCCCGAAGCCTGAGGGGGGAAAAGATCCATTGCGCTGCTCGGCCCTTGTCCATTCTCTTCTCTGGCGCATCAGGAAGCCTTTCATCACGGCGTTGGACCGTGTGGCGCGTAGGCCCTGGGACCTGATCGTGGGGGGCTCGGTGGATGTTACTGGTTGGCTCGATGAGCTCGGAACGGAACTGGCACTCCTCTGCGGTTTTCAGGTCGGGGGCCCTCTGCGCGATATGAGGAAGTACCATGACCAGGTCTGACTGCAAGTACCGTGACCAGGTCTGACTGCAAGACTTGGTCGACGCGGCTGTAGAATTAAAGTGTCCGCTCCGACTGTGAGCGCTGGCCAATGACATGTACATGGGGGTTCGGCATTTGCCGTTGGAAGGGGGCTGTCCATCCAGGGATCCTGGCTCATGGGGGCGCGCGGGCTGGACGTGGTCAGGCCACCTCTTTCGCCCTCGCTCATTTGTATCAACCCCT